CGCCCCCGCCGCCACGCGCGGCCAGGACACGCGCGCCCCCGGCACGAGCACGCGCCGCTGGGCCGCCTCCGGGCACAGCCCAGGAGGGAGCTCCCCGCCACGCGGAGCGTCCCCGCGGCCCTGCACTCACCCCGGCTCGGGGACGTTCTGTGCCCCAGACCGCGGACATTCTTCCCGCGGGAGCAGCGGTGGGGAAACTGAGTCAAGGGGTGACACCGAAAGCTCCTTCCACGCAAGACCCTTCACGAGCCTCCCTCGCAGCCTTCCTGGGCTTTTAAGCCTCAGGGCGGGAAGCCTTCCCTGACTGCCTGGCTGCCCCGATCACCAGGTTGTGCCCGTGTCCCTGCGGGTCATCGGCACCCCCAGCTGGACGGTATTTCCGGCCCGGGCCGGGAGCTCTCCTGAAAGTGGCCACCTGCCGTAGACACACCCATCCCTGACCCAATGCTGAGCAAGGAGTCCCCACAGCCACACACAGTGGGTGCCAAGGCCCACAGGCAGGCGTGAGGAAAGCCCTGCTGCACCTGCCCCAGCTCAGGTGACCAGCAGCAAACACGCACACACCCTGGGCTTGGGCTGAGGCCCCGACCCTCGCGTAGCTCCACACCCAACAGCAGGGCCTCTGGGCCCAGAAAGGCACCAGGGCCATGCACAGGTGTTCAGACCCAAGGACAGTGGAGCAGAGCCCCCAATGGGCAGGGCTGCGGCTGGGATGAGGGAGGGAGCCTAATCCTGGGGAGGGTGGGCAGACTCCCTCCAAAAATGGAGGTGACAGAGACCAAGGGGATGTGTTACCATGGCCACCCCTCCAAAGGCCACTCAGAACTGTGCCCGCTGTTGCAGGGATGCCAGGGGTCAGGCCAACCGCTCCCGGCTGCGGGGCCTCAGAGGGACACAGCAGGCTAAAAATAGCATCTTGCCCTCCCCTGAAGCTGGCTGAGAACCACAACAAGGAGAGGGCCAGTGGAGCTGGGAGGTTGGTGGGGAGGGTGGGGGTACCTCAGGGTCTAACTCAACTCGGGCATCCCTGCAGGGTAGGCAGCACAGCAGGGTGAGCGCCCCCCTGCCACTCCCCAAAAGCAGATGTGCAGAGGGAACTCAAGTCTGTGGACACGTCGGGTGGCCTTGGGGAGGTGGCCATGCTCTGGGTTATCCCAGCTATGGGCCCCAGGACCCATACATCTGGGCCCCAAGTGAGCCCCTCCCTCCAGCCTGGGCTGTCCTGCTTCCCTTAGGCCAGGGATCTGGCAGTTCCTGCTCGGGGGCAGGTCATTATAACACACCTGGTCACAGGTTCTCAGCACAGCTCAGCCAAACTGACTGAATACCGAGGTTTGGGGAGTGGGCAGTGCTGGGGGGCACAGCTGGCCATGGGGAAAGAGGCAGGAATCAGGAGAGGGACCTCTGGCAGTAGGGGGGCCCCCAGCAACATTCCCAGAGAATACACTATCTGCTTGCAGTGGGCTCTCAGCCCCAGACCGCATGACCTCAATGGATGCTGACGCTCCTGGACCACAGCTGGCCATAAGTGGACCTTCCAGGGGCCACTCACCACATGGGCCTGAGGCCTCAGAATGGGGATCAAGGAAGAAAGGGAGGCTGGGGGCCAGGGTGACATTTCCAGCCCACACCAAGATAAAGAACACGTTTTAGTTTGATTAAAAACAGCTGTCTTCAGATAGGGATCTGAGAGATAGAAATGATACAAGTGGTGTTTAATCAGGAAACCCAATCTCATGTCTTCTGCAGCAGCGGCCAGGGAAAAGACTCCAAACTGGATGGAAGGGTGGGAGAGCTGCACGACAGTCCCAGCCACTTCCTGCCCTGACCCCCACCTTTGGCCCAAAGTTCTGTCTCCTGGCCCCCTTCATACCCACTGGCTGCCCAGGGCCAGGAAGAAGGGGTGAAGCCCTGAGAATTCTGGGGTCTGGGGTCATTTCCTCGCCCATGCCCCCAGACCCCCAACACACGATATCCACAAAGGTGAGCAATGCCCAACAGCTGTGGCTGGTCCACGGGGGCCTTCCACTCAGCACGTCTGCCACTGCCCACACTTGGGCCTGGGCAGGAGGCAGGGTGGCGGCAGCACCCAGGGCTCTGCCATGGCAGACTGTCTTCAGGAGCAATGGTTCAGACAGAAGGGACCCCCTGAGCAGTGGCCGCGGCACCAGTGCCTTGGGGGCCCTGAGGTCAGACCACTGGGCTGAGAGCCGGGTCCAGGTCAGGGAAGGGGGCTCAGGAACCCCAGAGCCTCATCGGCTCTTCACCAAGACCCTGTAGAGTGCGAAGCTGAGGATTGCAGCCATGGCGGCCCCGATGACCCCCAGCAACCCCCGGAACCAGGAGGTGGGCTGCAGCTCTGCATGGACCAGGTGTCTGCAGGAGAGAGGGGCACGTGCCAGATGCTTGCTGCTGGACACCCCTCACCTGTCAACAGTTGCAGAGCCACACGAGCAGGACTCTGACACAAGGGTGGGCTTTGTGCCACACAGAACCCACTACTCCCCAGCAACCCTGACCCTAGCTCCTGATGATGCAGCTGTCCCACTGCCCAGGGGACAGGCCACCCTCCTACTGGGGCTGTGGTGCTGGATACCCACGGGAAGGTGGCCATGGTGGCGAGCCGGGTGAAGATAGCCATGCTGGGCTCAGCTGGGCCGGCACAGGAGAATGGCATGGGGGCAGCCAGCCGGTGCCTGCGGCAGAACTCGGCTGGTGACAGGCCTGGTGGCACCATGTCTTCAGGCAGGTCGGCCTTAGACGCAACGAAGAGGCAGGGCGTCTGTCCATCCATGTAGTGGCTCTGTGAGGGGAGGGGTGGCATGAGGACAAAGTCCCAGGGCAGCCAAGGCAGAGTTTGCTGCAGGGACCCTAGGGCCAGGCCTTGCCTTGTAGATGCTGGCACAGTGCACAAAGGACTTGAGGTCACTACTGTCATACATCAAGCAGGCGACGTCACAGGCGGTGTCTGGCAAGCAGTCTGCACCCACCTCACACAGCTGGGACAGACAGCAGCCTCAGGGAGGGGTCCCCAGGGGCTGAGTCCCCCACAGCCATGCTGGGACAGCTTCTGCAGGTGAGGGCATGAGCACGTCGAGTGTCCCTGGGTCCACCCTCGGCACCGCCCCTCCTGGCACTCACGATCAGGTACTTCTCCTGCCCGTTGACTTGCACTGTGTTAATGGCATATGCAGGAGGGTCCTCAGGGGACTTTCTGGTGTCCTGGTGCTAAGGGGAAGGGAAGAGAACCCCTAATGCTCTCTGGTCCCAACACTCCCCAGAGTGCCCTGCTCTTCCCCCAGAGTCCCAGATGGAGGATGAGGGTCTGCGCAGACGCTTACCCCTAGGCTGCGGCCGAGGAAGGCCTGCAGGAAGGAAGACTTGCCCACTCCTCGGGCCCCCACCACCTTGCACATGAGGACACTCCGCTGCGTCTGCCCCTTCTCCTGGTCCAGCCTCTTCTCACGGGTGACTACAAGGACAAACCCAGGTGAGGATGGCTGCCAATGGGGGCTGGGCCCAGGGCCTGGGGAGTGTGGGCACCCACCTGTGACGGCCTGGGCCTGGGAGTCCTGCTCACAGAGAGTGGGGTAGCCCAGGTAGCCAAGGTGCCCCAGGCAGCGCTGGACGTCCAGGTAGGTCACCAGGCTGGGGGTGGGCGGGAGGCACAGCATTATGATGGGGAGGGTGGTGGGAGGGAGGCCAGGTTGCAGCCGGCAGGTGAGGCTAGAGTGGAAAGGCCACACTCACGTCCACTGGCAGAGGTACCCATGCAGGGGCAGCTGGCCCGCCTCCATGCGAACCGTGTGCGAGAGCTCAGGGCCCCAGGGGGCTGCTGGGAACACACTGAAGAAACTCTGCAGCTCTTCAGGCGAGAGGGCACCGTCGTGGTCCTGAGGGCAGAGAGTCCGTGGTGACATATATGGGGAAGTGGTTGTGGAGGACGGCAGAGGGCCCAGCATGCTCACCTGGTCATGCTTTTCAAACACGCTCTGTACAAACTGGTAGCCGAGATGATTGAGCTCGGTGCTGCAGCCAGGAGGCACGTGGAGCCTGCAGGGACAAATGGTTGTGGTTTCTAAGGGATCCTGCACCACTGCGCTAGATGCATCCCCTGGCTGTCCCCCTGCCCACCCCATCCATGCAGCTGGACCCTCCATACAGGACCTAGAAGCGCCGTCCCCCTCCCCTGTGGCTGGGGGAGGAAGGTGGCCATCTGCTCCGTGTGTGGAATGCCTGGCTGAGGTCCCAGGCAGCCCAACCGCAGCAGGGTGCCCCAAAGGCAGGCAGGCCTGGCAGGCAACCTGTGCTGCAGGACACAACCCCAGATGGGCTGCTAAGTGGGACCTACCAAACCCCAGGGAGGTGATCCTCAAGCCCTACCCTCCACTTACGGTGGGAAGAGGTAGTCGGAATTCAGCTCAAGTGAGTCGCCGTAGCCGAAGCGCCGCAGAATGGTCCACGTGGTCTCATGTCGGCCATGCTGGATGAAAAGCATGTTCAGGAAGAGGAAGCCTATGCCAGACAGGACAAGGGTCATGCCAGGCACAGCTGGTCCACTCCCACACTCCGGGGGTGCAGGCGGGCATCTGGCCTCACCGTCCAGGGTCAGCCGGTCATCCCGCACACCACCTGCCACATTCTTGCACACCACCATCTTCACGTCCTCCAGGGCCTGTGGGGCCAGGGGGTGCCCAAAGCAGGAATTCTGCCTCCGAGAGGAAGTTGCTGTGAGTCAGTGGCCGCCCTGAGACAGCCAGACCTGATCACAGGGCAGCCGAGGCTGGGGATGGGTGGGAGGTGGGGGGTGGGGCACCTGAAAAGCACTGAGCTCCTCATCGCTGAGCGCCTGGTCCAGGTCCTGGTCCGAGAGCCTGAAGATGCGCGTGAGGGCCTGGGCGCACGCGGGCCTCAACTGCAGGGACAGCAGCTCAGCACCCCCAGGTGGCCCCTGTCCCATCTGCCCTACCGCTCCCAGTCCCTTGCTCTCCCCACCTAATGCCCCATAGGGGCTCCTGCGGGAGCGAATATGTGGGGCCCAAGCCCACTGCCCACCTGCTTGGCCTCGGGGTCGTAGAGGGGGGCTGTGGGGTGCAGGACAGCCTTCTGGGCATAGTAGAACAGCTCTGAGATGTTCCTCAGGTTCTTGGCCGAACACTGGGAGAGCAGGGACCAGCTAAGGGAGGTACCCAGAGGAAAAGCACAGGGAGTTGGGGTCCCCCACCCTCACCCCCGAATTCCTGTCCTCGCCACAGAGCCTCCTCCCCTTCTCTACTAAGTACTGGGGCCGGCTGCAAAGCCCCTGCCCCCACCTCCACGCAGGTCTCGATCTCGGGAAACTGGCTCATGATGGGCAGCACGGTGTCCATGGAGCTCCCTGGCCGCAGGTCCGACTTGTTCCCCACCAGGATGATGGGCACCCTGGGGGAAGAGACCTACAGTCACCAGGGATGGGGGATCCCGTGGGGCCCAGACCTCACTCCAGAGGCCCTGCTCATTACCTGGGCCCTCTCTCTGTCCCCCCATTCACCAGAGGGATCCATTTAGTTCGGATCTGAAAGGCAAGGCCTGGCTGTGAGGTTAGGCTGCCCACCCTGGCCATGGCTCCCACCTGGAGCTGGCACCTGCCTCCGGGAGAGCAGGAGGGGAGGTCGATGCCAACTGAGGGCCAGAGTCATAGCCACCGGGAACAAAGCTCATGGGAGAAAGGAGGAGCCATGCAGGGCCTTGTTCATTCCATCCTAGCAGGTCCAGACGCCCCCTCAAAGGGCTGGGGTCACAGGCCCAAGGCAGCCCCTGACACAGGCCCTCAGTTACTCCCCCTCAGGTTCTGAAATTAGGGAGGGGAGAGGGGCCGCTGGCCTAAGTAGTTCAGACTGGCAGCCATCCCAGGCTTTCTGTGGGGAGATGGGGTCACAAGGGACCCACCCCAGGGTGGTTCCATGTGAGGCTTCCCAAAATGCTCGTTAGAGATGGTCTGGCCACAGAGTAGGAGGAGGGTCCACCTGGGCCACTGTGTCTCTGCACTGAACACAGGCAGCTGACTGAGTGAGACACAGCAGCAGGGTTGTAGGATGGGTAACAAGCTCTTGCTCACCTTCTCAATGGTGGCCTCCTCAGAGACATCATACACCACGCAAACCACGTTTGCCTGCAGGGAGAGCAGCGAGGCACAGGGTGACACAACCCAGGCCACTCCACACCGTCCAGAGGCTCCAGCACGTCCCAGCTCACAGCAAGGACAGGGTGTGGCTCCAAAGCCTGAGAAGTCCACCCTTCCCTGGAACCTGCCCCAGCCCGGTGTTCACAGAGCAGGCAAGGCAGCCCTGACCTCAGCTCCTCCTATCTCACTACCAGTAGTCAGCGTGATAAGGGTGGGGCCTGCCCCTGACAGCTGTAGCCTGTACCCTTTGCCTAGTGATGCCCCCAGGACACAATGGAGACTGCAGGGGACCAGCAATGCTCAGTCCAGCACGTGTGCTCTGGTTAATAGGTGAGCCCCCATCACCACGGCACCCCCACAGCCCGGAGATCTGGAGCAGCAGACTAGAGAACACAGCAAGGGGGAGGTGACCAGAGCAGAGCTGTTTGAGGAGTGGCTCCAAAGCACACCAGGGTGTGTTCCCCAGAGTCCAGGGAACAGCCAAGGCTGGTCACCCACGTGGGCAGAAGGGAGGGAGGAGCCAGGGAAGGTCCTCTCTCCAGGATCTGCACGGGTCCTTGTTCCCACGACTTTCGCACCAAGAGGTCACAGCAGAATTACGGGGCAGAGGACACACTGAGCCCCTTAATCCGATTCCTCAGAGGACAAAGCAGATCAGGAGGTGCAGGCAGCCAGCCCCGAGGGCAGAGCGGCGGCCCGTGCCCCGCACCCTTCCCGTACCTTGTGGATCTCGTCCTGGAGCTCCTCGTCCGTCTGCTCGGCCTCTAGACGGAGCAAGAGACGCCGCTGCAGACGCCGAGAAGCCCCGCGGGCGGGGCGGGCATGCGGAGCGGGCGTGGTACCTGAGTAGTCCACGATGTGGGTAGGCACCCTCTCGGGGGTCACGTCCGCGGGGATCGTGATCTCTTCTGCCCGCGGTGGAACCTGCAACGGACCGGGCAGCGCTGACCGGGGCCCGCAGCAGGCCCAGGGCCTCGACCCGCCTGCGGCGCTGGCCTCACCTCCTCGGGGAACTCCTCGCCCACCAGCGACAGGATCAGCGACGTCTTCCCCGCCTGGGCGGCGCGGGCAGGGCGGGTGGTCGGCGCGGGGCGGCCAAGGTCACGGCG